CTCATTGAACTTACTGTTTTCAAATTCCTTGCCATGATCACTTCTGATTCTGACAATACACCCTTCTTTTTCTCTTTGAATTCTTTTGCACAGTTCTTTAAAAACTTCAAATACATCAGATTTTTCCCTAATGAAGTTAATCCAGGTGAATCTGGAAAAATCATCCACAACAACATAGGCATATCTTTTTCCACCAAGACTTTCCACCTGCATTGGTCCCATCAGATCCATATGTAGAAGTTCTAGAACCTTAGAGGTGGTCAGATGTCTTGACTTTGGATGTGACATCCTAGTTTTCTTACCAACCTGACATTCACCACAAACTCTCCCTTCATCAATTTGCAGTCTTGGAATCCCTCTGACTGCCTCCATGGATATAATCCTTTTCATTCCTCTTAGATGAAGATGGTCAAGTTTTTGGTGCCACAGTTTCACCTCTTTTTCTTCTTTGGCAATAGAACACACAGTGGAGTAATTAGTGTTCTCAGGCTCCCACAAGTAACATTTGTCTTTAGATCTGACTCCTTTCATTACAACTTCTTGTTTTTCATTAGTTACAAGACATTCAGATTTTGAGAAGTTGACCTTGAATCCTAGATCACATAATTGACTGATACTAATAAGATTAGCAGTCATGCCTTTTACCAATAGTACTTCATTTAGATTTGGAACTCCAGGGCAGTCCAAATTACCAACTCCTTTGATTTCTCCTCTAGCACCATCTCCAAAGGTCACATAACTAGTGGTGTGAGGTTTAACATTATTGAGAAGGTTCTTGATTCCAGTCATGTGCTTAGAACACCCACTGTCAAAGTACCAGTCTTCCTTTGCAGAGACTCTAAGGGAAGTGTGGGCTATCAGGGCAGTAGCCTTTTTCTTCCACTGTGGAGTATGTGGTACCTTGTTAGACTTAGGTTTGACACCTGGGTTCTGATTAGGGTATCCATACAATCTGAAGCAGAATGGCTTTATGTGACCAAACCTCCCACAATGATGACATCTCCATCTTTGGTACTTTTTCTTCATATTCCTCTGTTCCCGATGTTGAGTGCTATGTTGTGACATCTGCTTTGACATTTGTTTATCAGGCCTGATCTTCTTGTCTGCACCAGATTTCTTTGCTGCCACAAATCCTAGACCAGACTTGTTTCCCACATTTTGTCCAACCTGAAGGATTTCTTCCAATTTGTCAGTTCCATTTGTCAGCATCTTGACAGATTTGGTCATCTGGTTCAGTTTTGAGTTCAGCATTTGAACTTCCCCTTCTAGATGACTTATAGTTTCAATGTCTGCCCTTTTTTCAGCCTCCAACTTTATTATGAGTTTTGTTTGTCTCTCATTTTGCAGACAGACTTCAGCACTTCTGATACATAATTTCTTGTAAGTATCAGCCAGTTCTTCAAATGTCACTTCCTCATCACTAGTGTCACTTTCAGAGGTACAAACACCAGTTAGTGCAGTAACTAGTTTGGCAAATTCTTCTTCAGAATTACTTTCTAAATCACAGTCAGACCAGCTAACAGACATTCCTTTCTTTTGTTTCTTAAGAAAGGTAGGACATTCAGCTCGAATGTGCCCATATCCTTCACATCCATGGCATTGAATTCCTCTACTTTGATTTCCCTTCTCTTCAGACTTTGGTCTTCTGCTGGAGTCATAAGATCTGTTAATGTCAGAAGGGATGTTCTTAACATTTGACCTTGACTTTGGATCCATTCTCTTGATGAGTTTGTTGAATTGTCTTCCAAGCATGGCTATAGCTTCTGAAATATTTTCTTCTTCATCCTCCTTGTTTTCATCTTCAGTGTTGGTTACAAGTGCTATGCTCTTGTTTTTCTTGTCAACATTGTCACTAATCCCCATCTCAAAAGTCTGAAGAGACCCAATGAGTTCATCCACCTTCAACTTGCTGATATCCTGGGCTTCCTCTATAGCAGTTACCTTCATTGCAAATCTTTTAGGCAAGGATCTGAGAATCTTTCTCACCAGTTTTTCTTCTGACATCTTTTCTCCCAATGCTCCTGAGGTGTTGTTAATCTCCAAGATGTTCATGTGAAACTCATGAATGGTTTCATCTTCCTTCATCCTTAGGTTCTCAAACTTGGTAGTCAGCATTTGAAGCCTTGACATTTTTACTTTGGATGTGCCCTCATGGGTAGTTTTGAGAGTGTCCCACACTTCCTTGGCCAGTTCACATTGATGTACTAGTCTGAATATGTTTCTATCAATTCCATTGAACAAGGCATTTAAAGCTTTGGAATTACCCAGGGCTAACTCATCTTCTTCTTTGCTCCATTCTTCCTCAGGCTTCAGACTGATTGTCCCATCTTTCTCAGTTATGGTGGGATGGTTCCATCCTTTGTCAGCAGCTCTCCAAGCCTTTTTGTCCAGTGATTTTAAGAAGGAAATCATACGAGGTTTCCAGTAGTCATAATTTGATCCATCCAGAATGGGTGGTCTGTTTCCAAAAACTCTTTCTTTGTCCATAGCGCCAGAAAGTGATATCCCTAGATCTTACCCAGTAAGACAGGCAGGGTGCCTGCTCTGATACCAATTGAAATTCTGGCAGCAGATACTCAATGTCACAGGGAATGTTATGACACCGTATCTGACTTTCTATAAGACAGTAAATAGAAAAATAGTAAATAACACAGTCAATTGTTTACCCAGTTCAGTGTGAAACAACACCTACTCTGGGGGCTACCAAGCCAGGGAGGAAATCCACTATAAGAGATATTAATTCAGGAATAAACCAACCAGTTTATCTCCTTCACTTAAGACCTACCCAATGCAACTTCAATCTAAGTTCAACTTAAACCTGAGTTCCTACTCACCCCCCCCCCCCCTCAATCACAGCAGTGATACTAAACAATTGACTAATGAATTAATGAAGACACTCTTCAGAACATACACTTGATTATGCTTCACAGCTTTTAATCAAGTAACACAAACACTCTTGCTTCAAAGCTTTGAGTGATACATAAACCTAACTTGACCTTGCTTCAAAGCTTTAGTCAAGAGACACAAACACTCTTGCTTCAAAGCTTTAAGTGATACACAACCCTTACAATCAAAACCTATTCCAAGTCACTTATCACGATGATACTTGCTTGGATTACAGCAGTTAAAACTATACAGCCCCTAATTGATCTTCTGTCAAAAAGTTAAATTCCAATCAGCTTTCCTGTTGAATATATATGCAGCTGTTTCTTCAGTTAGGGCTTCCACGAAAAGCTAGGGTTAATTAGGGTTAACCTCAAGACTTGGTCACAAGACTTTATCAACCAGATTAGGGTTGAGCTCAGTTAACCTAAAGTCCACGTGAGATTCTGTTCTGGAAAGTATGAACCAAATTCCTGAAAAATCTCAGAATTAACCAAACTGCATAACTGTTAGATCAGTACAGGATGTCTTAACATCTGTTATGACAACAGAAATCCTGTTTACTGATTTTGGTAGAAAGTGATAAATGTGATCATTTGCAAAATGCTCAGATACACACTCATAAATAGCAGCTACTGTATGCCATTCTTTTTCTACATAAAGTACCTAATAATCCAGAATGTTATGACATCAGTCATGACATTCACACACCTGGTTTTACCAAAAATACATGCCAATAACTAAACACTTACATAACAAATTGAAGCAAATAAAACAAAATATTGTAGGAAGAACTAACTGCAATACCTCATAAGCTACAATAAACATAACAAACATGATACAAATTTAACAATCTCTAGTTTTGAAAATAAGTTGAGAAAACTATCTATGTAGTTCGAAATTGGTTGAGTTTGGTTATTACTTAGTCAATTGATGATTAATTAGTTAGAAGATTATTCATTACTTACTTTTCAACTAATAAATGGTACCTAATTCCCTTTGGTTCTAACATAATCACTTTTCTTGATTTAACCAATTTGTTTTCTTTCATCACTTATCTCCCAACTTCCTCTCCTCTATACAATATTTTATAACAGAGAAAACCTCTATCAATGGAACAAAGAGACATATATGGAAAAAAGATCTACAATATTGTCACAAACTAAATTTGTAAATCTGTTTAAAAAAATAACATACCTTGATGGAGAAATTTCACAGTAGAGCCAAAGACAACTACAAAAATGAAATAACAAACCATCACAATTCTTCAATGTCTCTTAACATCAAACCATAATTCTTGAAAATTATTATATAATAAACAAATAAAAGGAAACAAAGGGAAGTAAGAATGTATAAGGAAAAAAATACCAGTGGAGGCTTCTGAATGCAACGGCAACAAACTCGCGTCAGGAGGGTGGTTACGGTAGTTGCAGTATTGCGTGATGTGTGTGACTCGTGCGTGAGGGTCTTTCTGGTTGCGGAACTGACTTCAACGGTCGGATCTCGGTCAGAGGAAGAAGTCTGATGGTACTATGCATTTGAGGTGGACGGACGAAGTCGGAGCAGGGGTTGTGTGGATCTGGTGGTGTGGAGAAGTCGCGATCTGAGCGGACATCAAGCAGCTTTGAAGGGAAGAGAGAGAGAGGATAAGATATATGGTTTAAAAGAAAGAGAGAGGGGAGAAGAGAGAAAAGGAACAGGATTATGCCTGGTGTGAAACAGACAGGAGAGAGATTTGGAAAAAAAAATGAATGAAAAAAAATGAAAGTGTATAAAAAGGAGAACACGCGACAATAATTAATTTGATATAAAATATATAAAATTGATTGGTTTATAAATAGACAAAATTAACCGTTTAGCCCTTTGAAATTTTTTTAAAAGAGAGAATATAATCAGTAGTATACTAACCTTTAATTTTAGTGACCAGATAGAAGATTTTTCCTATTTTATTTAATTTGTTATTAATTAATTCCTAAAAAAGTTCAAAATTTGTTTTAACCAACATTTAAAGATAATATTTGTTCTTATCCGACCAAACCAAAATTGGTTTTATATATAATAACCAGTAACCATATTTCTATTCAGAAACACAAAAAGTAGCATCGCAGCTCTCATCAATGGCGGAATTTTCACTTCCCAAAGACTCTTTTTTCCTCGGATTCGACAGCTCAACTCAGTAAGTTCAATCCACATTCCCCCAACTCCATTCCAAATTTCAATTTTCAATTGCATGAAATTAAAATTTTCATTTTTCATTTTTTGAAGATCGTTAAAGGCAACGGTTTTGGATTCGAATCTCAACATCATTGCATCTGAGTTGATCCACTTCGATTCAGATTTACCGCATTACAAAACCAAAGACGGTGTTTACAGAGACCAATCCATCAACGGAAGAATCGTTTCCCCCACGCTAATGTGGGTGGAAGCACTCGATCTCATTCTCCAAAAGCTCTCAAAATCGAATTTAGATTTCTCCAAAATCTCCGCTGTTTCCGGGAGTGGACAACAGCATGGAAGTGTTTACTGGAAAATTGGTGGTTCAAAGATTTTATCATCATTGGATTGTAAAAAGCCGTTGTTGGAACAGCTTGAGAATGCTTTTTCGATTAAGGAGTCGCCGATTTGGATGGATTGTAGTACGACGGTGGAGTGTAGGGCGATAGAGAAGGCTTGTGGGGGGGCGTTGGAGTTGGCGAGAGTGACGGGGTCACGCGCTTATGAGAGGTTTACTGGGCCTCAGATTAAGAAGATATTTGATCAGAAGCCAGAGGTTTATAATGAGACGGAGAGGATCTCGCTTGTTAGCTCGTTTATGGCGTCGGTTTTTATTGGGAGGTATGCTGCTATTGATCATTCGGATGGTGCAGGGATGAATTTGATGGATATTAAAAAAAAGGCTTGGTCTGAAGTTGCACTTGAGGTTATTAGTGTTACTAGTTTTCCCTAATATTCTTGTGTTCATGTTTGATCAATGTTAATATATGAATTGTAATGGTTGTTGCAGGCAACTGCACCTGGTTTGGAGTCAAAACTTGGAGATTTGGCTCCTGCATATGCTGTTGCTGGATATATTGCTTCATATTTTGTTGAGAGGTTTGTTTCGCGTATTTTCCTTTTGAATGCATGCAACATCAAAGCGGGTTTGTTGTATGCGTGCGTACATGATGTCAAAGTCTAATGATTTTATACATAAATACTCAAGTAACATATCTACATAGAACCTAGAGTGACCGATATTATCTGTTGGAGTCGATGTTTAATAGTACCACGAGAAATTTTCACGTTAAAATTTGAAAAACTATAGATATGTTGTTAAAGAAATAGTTAGCACTCATATAATTGCCAACCTAATACGCGCTACACTATTTATCTCCTGCATGAATTGGTTTAAAAACATTTTTTGGTAAAATATAATTGTGGATTTTCTTCATTTTAAACCTTTTTTTTAAATGAGATAGAGAGCTATTTGTTTGCTAGTTGTCTACAACAAGTTTGGAAACAATGTTTTGTATGGATGTGAAATCGTCTCACAGCCACTTGCTGACCTAAATGGTCTATGTTGTCTGATGGGTGATCTACTACTGAATGCATGGGGAAATTTTTGTGTAAATTCCAGTATGAAACCGCTATGGTTCTCGCCCCACTTACATGTTGCATGTGTGATGAGTCATATCAAACGCTTAGACTGATAACTGAAGTTTATTTGTTTCAAGGTATCACTTTAATAAGGATTGCCTCGTCGTTCAATGGTCAGGAGACAACCCTAACAGTGTGGCAGGTGCTATAATTTTTTTCAATACATCTCTTTCTAGTGAGATTTACTTATATACTTCAGTCAAAGTAGAAACAGTGAAAATCAACCTCCCTCTGGGGAAAATGAAAATTTTAAAACTGAAGTCATATAATGTATGTTTGGTTCCACTTTTGGATAAGGAAAAATTGATTCTAGGAGGTGTAAAATTGAGTTTGACATGTTTGGATGTTCTCTGGTAGAAATGTTTTTGCCTTCGAAATTGATTCTAACTTGAAGCCTAGAATTTGGAGTCTTTGCTTCCACAATTGATTTTAGCTTTGAATTTATTTTTTTGACCCACTTTATTTATATGAATGCATTCTTTCAAAATCAAGTTTTCTCGAATCATTTTACATTCAACTCAGCTTTTAGTTAGAATCAATTTTCTCAAATCAATTCTTTCAAAATCAAATTTTATCAACTCATAACCAAATAAATACACACATTATCCCTATTTTTCTCTGCTCGTCCTAAAACTACCATCCATATCTGCAGGTCTGACATTAAATATTCCAGGAGATCTTGCCATCAGCCTCGGCACTAGTGATACCGTATGTTATGATACAGAATCTTCTGTTACCTTACTTCTGTTGTAATTGCTCACCTAGAAACCTAGGAAATGACATCAGCTTCACATGTTGCTACTTGCTAATGAAAGAAAACGAAACTATTTTTATTGCTAATTCCTATTACATGTTTCCATATTAGCATGCAAGCAACTTTTTTAAATGCAAACTAATGCCATTACTTTTAGTTATAATCAATCTACCTTGTCTCTCAGGTATTTATGATCACTAAAGATCCTAATCCAGGGTTAGAGGGACATGTCTTCCCTAGTCCTGTTGATGCAGAAGGTTACATGGTAATGTTAGTCTACAAAAATGGGTCCCTTACCAGAGAAGGTAGTGTTGTTGTCCTTATGTTGTTGTCCTTAGTGTCTGGTACATTTATTGTTTATTTGCATAAACATCCCACTTAAAATAATTCTTCAAGTTTCTAATTCCGGTCCCTATCTCATTTGCCAGATGTACGTAACCGTTATGCGGAAAATTCTTGGGACACTTTCAATAAATTTCTGCAGCAGACACAACCTTTGAATGGTGCGTATCATGAAATTTATGCTATGTTATCCATATTTCAATCGGCGATCTCACAATTCTTTTTTTGTTAAAAGGTGGGAAGTTAGGTTTCTACTACAAGGAGCATGAAATCCTACCTCCTCTTCCAGGTCACCGATTAATTTTCCCGCCTATTAAATTACTTGTACTCAACGCTAAAGACACCCTGGTTTACTCAAAGAGTTGCTTACAATTTTTTTCATGGGCCCAGTTGGTTACCACCGCTACGTCATAGAAAATTTCTTAGGCGCGTTGGATGGAATGAAGGAGCAGGAAGTGAAGGAGTTTGATCCTCCATCTGAGGTTAAGAAATACCTGGCAACTTATTTGTATAGTTGAAATCCTGGATAAAAAATTTATTTTGAACGATAAGCTATATTGCAGGTAAGAGGAATAATTGAGGGTCAATTTCTTTCAATGCGCGCTCATGCTGAAAGATTCGGTATGCCTTCTCCACCAAAGCGAATTATAGCTACTGGTGGAGCATCGGCCAATCAGAGCATCCTCAACTCAATAGCTTCAATTTTTGGCTGTGATGTTTATACAGTTCAGAGACCTGGTAAGCAAAAATTGGCAATCTCTGCTCGAGTATTAGTGATGTGAAAGTTTCATTAACCATCTACGTGCATGTTTATATATTATGTTTAGATAGATACTAATGAACTCAACTTTATTTATTCATCAAAATGTGTTTAACTCAACTAATGAAATTGAAAATTCTTCAACTTGGTGACAGATTCAGCTTCTCTTGGAGCTGCAGTGAGAGCTGCTCATGGCTGGCTTTGCCATAAGCAGGGTGGTTTCTTACCGATATCAGATATGTACATGGATAAATTGGAGAAAACGTCTTTAAGCTGCAAGCTTTCAGCTAGTGCTGGGGATCAGGAGTTGTTTTCCAAGTATGCTGCTGTATTGAAAAAGAGAACCGAGATAGAGAATCGTCTGGTTGAAAAGCTCGGACGCATTTGAAAATTTTAACTTGCTATTTTGATCTGAATTCTTTGCTGGAAAGGAAAAGTCCTTACTGAGTTTTTTTCACTTTCTGTGAATAGAATAAAGTGATTACATAAGTTTAAGCATCACTTATAATATGAAATGAAATAAAAGGTGGTGTTAATTTTTAAGTTTATGATGTAACCACGGGTGAATGTTTTAGTTTTGATTTCTTGTCCTTGGATGCTAACCACCAAGGGAAAATGAAAATAATTCATTTTTTCATTAGCACTTCTATTATACTGTTAGGAAATATTTGCCTATTCTTTCTTTATTATGTGGTTTTAAAACATTTGTTAGTTATTCCTTCTATTCTTTATTATGTTAATTAATAAAAATTATAAAAGTTACTTAATAAATGTATTGAAAATTGTATATTTCTCTATAACAGATTAAACATTAAAAAAATTAGATTGAAAATTGTATATTTTATTATTTTGTGAAGTTGAAAATTACTTCTTTTTCAAGACACTGGCTTAAATTGATTTTGTATATTATGTATGATTTGTTTTATTTTTTCCAATTGTTGTCCGCAAAGTTCTCAATTGGAAATTGAATTTAGATAATGTTCAAATTTTATTAATACACTAGCAAAATACTCGTGCGAGTAAATTTATTTAATATGATATAGATTTTATTTAGATATATATATAAATTTAAAATTAATTATTTAATTATAAAATGAATAATAATAATAATATAAATTCAATTGCACTAAATAATTATAAAAATAAAAAAATGTAAAATAGAGAAAAAAAATTATTATTTAAATTTTGTGTATTAAATAAAGATAATTTTAATTAATATGAAATAGATATTTTAGTGATAATGTCCGGAAAAAAATTGATATTTGAAAAAAAAATTTGTGTCTCAAATAAAAATAATTATTAATTAAAATAAATTATATATTTTTGTATGTTCTTTCATTATATTAAAGAATGATTTAATTTTTTTATTTATATCTAAATAAATAAAGAGGAAAGGAAATTAAAAATGAAAACGATAAAGTATGGAAAAAAAAGTGAAAGAGATTTGAAATTTGAAGAAATAAAATGAAAAATGAGAAAGTTGCAATTAAAAAATAAAGAAAGAAATAAAATGAGTAAAAAAAATATGAAATGAGGGGAAAAAGTATGGAAGCAAGACAGTTGTGAATTTAATTTTGATATTATAAATTGACTATAGTATCTTTTTGATAGTATAAATTATTAAAATAAAAAGGATATTATTGGAAGTCTACCATTATCATTTTAATAGGTTTGACTACAGTCATGATATATTCAGTGAGAATGTCTGAATATAATTTTAAAATGCTATCATTTTAAAAGCTAATGAGTTGGGTTGAAAAAAACTTTGGATTGAGTCCGATTCTTTCTCGAATTATAATCTTGTTGTGTCTAAGAATAATATCAAGTCTCTTTATTTGTCGGTCCTTCACAATTTCCACTCATATCCTTGCAGGTAGTTTTTGTTCATAAGCATTTATTACTTGGGACTTTTTACTTGACAAGAAAGGTACCCTCTAAACTTATTAGCTATTTTACCTAACCGTGTTTTAGCCGCTGAGGAGTCAATTCCAAATTTCCTTCAGTTGGAAAAAGATAATTGATTGGCTAAATTCACAAATCGCTGTTTCGTAAATTAGGTACCAGAAAGAAAACTTATGCATGGTACTTGCCTGTTAATGTAAGACTGTCATTCCCAGCAAATTAGTGTAGAATTAACTTTTTGTGCTAAGCACAGCACAATTGGTTACAAGCATTCAAAATCAACACATAATTGTTCAAGACAACAAAGAGCAAAAAAGCACATTGCAGCAAACACAAAAGAAACAAGCCCTGCAAGATCTAGTAATCTTCATCTCCTTCACCGTCTTCTCCGTCACCAGACTCAGCACCAACCTCTTCATAATCCTTCTCAAGTGCAGCAAGATCCTCACGAGCCTCAGAGAATTCACCCTCCTCCATACCCTCACCAACATACCAATGCACGAAAGCACGCTTAGCATACATAAGATCAAACTTATGATCAATCCTCGAAAACACCTCAGCAACACTGGTAGAGTTGGAAATCATACACACAGCCCTCTGCACTTTAGCAAGATCACCACCAGGAACAACAGTTGGAGGCTGATAATTGATACCACACTTGAACCCAGTAGGACACCAATCAACAAACTGAATAGTCCTCTTGGTCTTGATGGTTGCAACAGCAGCATTCACATCTTTAGGCACAACATCACCACGGTACATCAAACAACAAGCCATGTATTTTCCGTGACGAGGATCGCACTTAGCCATCATAGAAGAAGGCTCGAAAGCACTGTTGGTGATCTCAGCAACAGAGAGCTGCTCATGGTAAGCTTTCTCAGCAGAGATAACAGGTGCATATGAGGAAAGCATGAAATGGATCCTAGGGTAAGGAACCAAGTTGGTTTGAAACTCTGTAACATCAACATTAAGGGCACCATCAAACCTCAAAGAGGCAGTAAGGGATGAAATCACCTGGAAAATACAAATAAAACTGTCAATATTCATTACACAATTCAATTTCAAATATGTTGCAAGATCCAATCCTAAGATTAGGGTACCTGAGAGACAAGGCGATTGAGGTTGGTGTAAGTGGGACGCTCAATATCAAGAGATCTTCTGCAAATGTCATAAATGGCTTCATTGTCGAGAAGGACAGCAACATCTGTGTGTTCAAGGAGGGAATGGGTTGACAGAACACTGTTATATGGTTCAACAACAGAGGTTGAAACCTGAGGAGAAGGATAAACAGTGAAACCCAGCTTGGACTTTTTCCCGTAATCAACAGAAAGACGCTCCAACAAAAGAGAACCCAAACCAGATCCGGTTCCACCACCAACAGCATTGAACACAAGAAAACCTTGCAGACCTGTGCAGTTATCAGCCAGCTTCCTGATCCTATCAAGACACAGATCAACAATCTCCTTCCCAACTGAACCACATAGATAGATAGACCCAATTCATATATCAGATTCGAATTCAAATTCAAATTAACAACATGAAAGATGCAAAACATGAAATCAAAAAACAAAAAACGAAAAACGAAAAACTCACTGGTGTAATGACCACGAGCGAAATTATTAGCAGCATCCTCTTTCCCGCTAATGAGTTGCTCAGGGTGGAAGAGCTGACGGTAAGCACCGGTTCTAACCTCATCAATGACGGTAGGTTCAAGATCTACAAACACAGCGCGTGGAACGTGCTTTCCGGCGCCGGTTTCACTGAAAAACGTATTGAAGGCATCATCTCCTCCTCCAACAGTTTTATCACCAGGCATCTGGCCATCAGGCTAGAAAAACAAAAACAAAATCAACACCGATCAATCCATCAATCAAGATCACAAACAAAAACAACAACAAATCAAGAATTCAAACAATTCAAACACAGAAATCGAAGATCTACGATTTAAACCATCAAAAAATTGGAGAGAAAAAATTGAAACCCTAATTTGGTACCTGAATGCCATGTTCGAGGCAGTAAAGCTCCCAGCAAGCGTTTCCGACCTGGATACCAGCTTGACCGATGTGAATCGAAATGCACTCCCTCATTTTCGCTGGAAAATTGAACGAAGAAATTCGAAAAAGGTTGGAAGGTTGAAGAAAGGAAGGAAAATGGAAGAGGAGTTGCGTTTATTAAGACGCTTCTCCTTTGTGAAATTTGTGATGAATGAGAAATGGAAATGGAAGAGGTTATTATATAATAGAGCGAAAAGGAACTAAATTTGAAATGTGTGGTTAGGAATTAACTAGGGTTGGGTTACCCTGGTTAACAGCGATTTTTTTATTGTTTGGATTATTACAGCCTGGCAACTGACCGTTGAGCGTTTTGATTTTTGAATTTTGATTTTGGGTTGATTTTATTCCCTCCCCGAAATTCAAGGAATGTCATTGGTTTTGTTACCTTCTCTCACTCACTACCCAACGGATCAAGAAAAATGTACACAAGTTTATGTTTTTCTTTTTAAATTAATAAAAAACTTCAAAATATCCTATTTTAATTACTTTACTTTTAATTACGTTAATCTTAAAATACAAAAAGAAAAATAAAATAAAATATTTATTCATTTAATAGAGGAAATGGGAATGGAGGGGAAAGGAGGAGAGAAAATTTAACTAAATAATGTTTGATTCAAAGAAGGAGATGGGAGGAATTTTTAACAACATACATGTTTGGTTCACAAGGGGATGAGAGAAATTTTAAAACTAAATTATATTTTTATCCTTACAAATATTGTCATTTGTACTTAGTAAAAATAATTTTGAATAAATTTCACCAAATAAATACATGTTCATTCATAAACCACACAAATTAAAACAAAATATCTAGAAACATATTAAATTGTAAACAAAATATTCATAGACATATTAAATTGTTAACAAAATATACATAAAATATTATATTATTATTATTATTGTAATTTTTAATATTATAATATTTTATTAACATTATATATTAAAATCAAACCTGCTATATTCCGCCGTAAATTTGACTCCATATAGGTGCATCATCATAACAAAAACTATATACGTTTAATATACAAATTTGAATGTATATAGGTATAACATCATAATAAACAATAGCTCTTCAATGCATATTTGTGACAAGTAACAAATTATACAACAAGAACTATATACGTTGATATACAAATTTTTAGAACAACAATCAACATACACAATTTGGAGGAGAGCAATAAGGACAATCTAATCAATCTAGTCTTTAATAATTCAATAAGGACAATCTTGGAATTAATAAAAATAATTGAGGATAATTAGAGAAATAATAAAATTTTAAATAATGAATTTTCTCTCCTCTTCAAATCTCTTCAATTTGGAGGGGAGCAAAAAGTGAGTCTACGAGAGATTTTGCTCTCATTCCCTCTCATCTCCTCCCTTTATAAAAAATGAACCAAACAAATATATTTATAAATACCCCCTCCCATCCCCTCCC